ATCCCAGCACCGTATGGCTGTGCTGGTCCTGCCCCTGGGCACACTGAGCTGGCCACTGAAACCAAGCATGGTGGTGCATGCCTGTAATCCCAGCACTGGGGAGGCTAAAAACAGAAGGATCACTACCGAGCTGTGTACCCTGTATCAAATACATTTTAAAAATAATAAATTAAATAAATAAATAAAGCAAGGCAAAGAGGCTTGCTTTACCCTTGTTGCCTTTGCTGTCTTCCACAGCATGTACTGCTGCTCCTCTGCCATGACACCCTGCTTTAGAGTCCGCTGATTACGGAAACCTCTGCAAACAGCTAAATAAATCCTTTCCTCCCTTAACCTTGGGTGCGAGGCATTTTGTCTCAGCAATGAGAGATAAGTACCTAAGACACTGAGGCTTTAGTGGAGGCCTCAGAGAAAACATGTGGTTTTGATGGCAGTAAATGTAGTAGAGAAAGGTCTGTTGACTACAGTCAACTCTGCCACCTTTTTAATTTTTTTTTTTTGTGCAACCAGGGATTCAACTCAGGTCCTTGTGCTTGCCAGGGAAGCACTTATTCCACTGAGCCATCTCCCCAGCCCCTAAAAATTTTATTTTCTAAAAATCTTTGTATTCATTTGGTACAGGTTTTGTGTGTGTGTGTGTGTGTGTGTGTGGTACTGGGGATTGAACTCAGGGCCTTGATGCTTGCCAGGCAAGCGCTTATTCTACCGAGCTATCTCCCTGGCCCTAGTATAGAGTCTTGCTACACAACTTAGACTCATAGTGATCCTCCTGTTTCAGTGGCTGGTGCAGCCTCTGGGCCAGCACAGCATGCGGTACCAGGATCAAATCCGGGTCCTTGCACTTGCCAGGCAGGCATTTAGATCACTGAGTTGTCTTCCCAGCACGCCCCCCACTTTTTTTTTTTTTTTTTGGCCGAACTGGGAACTGAACTCAGGCCCTTACACTTACCAGGCAAGCACTTATTCCACTGAGCCATCTCCCCAGTCCCCCCCCCCTTTTTTTTTGAGGCAAGGTATTGCTGTGTAGTTCAGGCTGATTTTCATCCTCTTGCCTTCACCTCCTGAGTGTGCATATTACAGGTATGCACCACACTGTGGTGTCATCTTTTTAATTCCCTTTGAAGGAACAACTGATTTTAGTTTAGTACCTTCCCCATAGCAAACATTAAACAATTGTTTTATTCCCTTTTTTTTTTTCATTAACTTTATTTAGGACTCAAACACCACTAAATCACTTATTTTCACATTTACAAAGTTGGGTTGTGCTAGAAATCCACACAAATAAGAGCATTAGTATATTCTTATTACATTCATTCTGATGTTCCAGTGTTAATCTAGTGACCAGTTTTCATAGCCAATAACTACCCTTCACAAGAACTAAAAGGTAAGATTACACACAAAACTTCTTCGACTTTTAGGCCATAAGCTTCTGACCACATCTCCTCTGACAGTCAACTCCTCTTGTTTAACACAGGGCAGAGATGTCTCCATTCTCTTCACAAACAAAGGAAACAGGGACAGGAGAGCAGACAGCTTGAATCCCTATCATCTGTCATCCACAGTATTGCTGGAGGAGCTCAGACTTGGAGGCCCCCTTAGAGTGCAACTTTAGCCCATGAACCCAAGTGGCCAGGTGGTACACTGTGGATCCAGCAGTATGCAATGCAAGGTTTTGTCTGCTGGTGTTTCTGTCAAGAAATAGATATGTCTAAATGTCTATCAATTGTTTCCTTAGTCTCAAACACAGTGTTGACAAATTCCATGCAGTCTGGTAAAATGAGTGAGCCTGCCAACATGTGAGCTCATCTGTAGCAATGTATCACATGACACTGTACCTAACTTTGGGATCACAATGGAACACTAATAGAGACCATAAACAACTCCTTACACTATACCAGGAATCAAACTCAGGGCTTCATGCATGCCAGGCAGGTGCTATGCTGCTGAGCTACATCCCCAGCACTTTTTTTTTTTTTTTTTTTTTCTTTTTGAGACAGGGTCTTGCTATGCAGTTCAGGCTGGCCTTGAGCTCATTTTGTAGCCCAAGCTGGTCTCGAACTTGCAACAGTCCTCCTGCCTCAGCCTCCTGAGTACTGCAATCACAGGCATGTACCACCACACCCAGCCATATTGTTTTTTTAATGTCCACATGCTTTTCTGCATAATGTGCCTGGGCCATGCAAACAAGACATTTGGTCTGGGAAAGACAGCCACTGAGAATTCATATTGCAACTCTTCTGCAAACTGAAAATCACTTCAAAATAGAGGTACCAAAACTAAATTAATATAAAATAATTTTTGTTTTGAGACAGGATCTCATTAGTTCATGTTTGCCTTGAACTTACTATGCAGCACAGACTGGCCTTGAACTTGCAGTGATCTTCCTCAGCCTCTGGCATGCTGAGATTACAGGCATCTACCACCATGCCTGGCAAATATAAAATACTTAAAGAGACCATCATGAGTTTATGGCATTAGGAAATAGGTAAGATAAATCTGAATACATTCTGGAATCCAGAATGTTCTAAAACGAATTGTACTAAATAGCTAAAAAAAGTTAAGGGATGCAGCTTATAAAAATAAGAAAAACTGCCAGATATGGTGGCATATGCCTATAATCTTTGCACTGGGAGGCTGAGGCAGGATCATGAGTTCATGGATAGTCTAGGTTACATAATAAGTTCAAGGCCAGTGAAACTTTGTCTCAAAAACCAAACTCCCCACCAAAAAAATATTAATTTTAGTTCAACAATTAAAACTGAAATTTATGAAATAAAAATGATTTACTCCTAACAACATTTTTCAGTACTGGCGACTGAATCTAAGAAACACCCAGATATATTCCCCAGCCCATTTTCTTTTTTATTTTGAGTTGGGGGCTGTCCTCACTTAGTTGCCTGGGTTGGCCTCAAACTTGTGATCTTCCTTGCCTTAGCCTCCCAAAATGTTTTATTTTTTATTTTTTTTTTAAATTTTATTTATTTATTCATTTAGTGTGTGTGTGT